ACTATAACCCAACGGGAAATTAGTCATTTACTTGTTTACTATACCATAAGCACCATGAGGACAGAACATGTCTGGGTTTTTTGTGGTCTCCCATTGTCTAGTATATTGTTTAAAACTGACCAAGGTGTCACTAACAGTGATCACATATGGTTAGTTTCTGCGTAGTTTCTTTCTTTGTGAGTATTAACATATTACCACTAGACTATGGTATAAATACGGGTGTTCTAGATTCCTTGACTCTAATCTCTAAGGTTTGCATACAGTAAAAATCTTAATAATTTTTAATAATTTGAAATAAAAATAATACAATGTGATATGTGGTATACATTTGATACTTTAAGATAAACTTGACAGAGAAAACAATCTCTCATCATCTATGTTTGAAAAGTGTTATTCAACTGTTAAAATTTGTGGCACTTTGAAAAACGGGAAAAAAAAAGCCATGACTAAGACTGCTTAAACTGACCTAAATAAAGCTCATTTATAATTTCAATTAAGGCTTCTAGTTTTTACTACAATTTGGCAGTTTAAAAAATGCCAATTGCTATTAAATGTATAATTTTTTCCATATAAATATCTGCATGCTTCATTCATGAATAAACTATTTTGTAAAATTGAGACCGGTAAGTCTCACTCTTCTACCTGTCTGACAATTAGATTAATTGGAAAGTTTCTATCAATACATATTTCTGGACCTCATCTTTGGGGATTTTAATTTAGCTCATCAGGTCTGTCTAGTGATTGGAAAGAGTTTAGCCCAAATGAGTGCTCATAACTTTTTTTTTTTTTTTTTTTACAGTAATTCCCTCTAAGTTCAGTATTAAAGAATTTTATGTTAGGAGCTGACATTTTCCCATAACCTTTTAATTTTTAGAAACAAAAAAACAAATGTGAAATCATATGTTTCTAAAATCCCTAGATGCAACTGATTATTCTTATAGGCTTCAATACGTACCACCCAATTTATACTTGAATTTACTCTAAATTCTGCTATTCAGATGTATATTAAAACATGAAGCATAATACCAATGTTACTGATAACTTCTAGACAGTTGAACCTACTTGTTATGTGTTGAGCTGTATCTCTCAAAGGAACATATGGTGAAGTCCTAACCCCTGATATTTCAGAATGTGACCTTATTTAGAACAGGGTTTTTGCAGGTTTAACCAAGCTGAGGTCATCAGAGTGTGCCCTAATCCAATATGACCAGTGTATTTATAAAAAGGGGAAATCTGGACATAGACGGACATAGACTCAGACACGTGCAGAGGTAAGATGATATGGAGAGATTTAGGAAGAATGTTAAGTGAAGATGGAGGATGTGATGTATCTAAAAGGACAGGAATGCCAGAGATTGTTGGCAAACCACCAAACCCCAGGAAAAGGCAAGGAAGGAAAAGTACAGATTTAAGAGGGAATATAGCCCTTGATTTCGGACTTGTAACATCTAGAACTGTGAGATAATAAATTTCTGCTGTGTGAAGCTACCCAATTTTTGGCACTTTGTTATAGCAACCCTAACAAACAAGTACACCAGTAGATATGACTGTTCATAACACAATCTGCAATCACTGAATCCTTAAATGTTGTCTGATTTTTTAAAACAAGCTTACATAGTCAAAGGCAAAGTTGAGCCAACCACTAGAAAATCTCTCCCCCAAGTGCTCTCTTTAGCAGCCTGGTGAAGCCTTTGGACCCTTTCCCTGAATACTATTTTTAAATTTACATAATAAAAAGTATTGAATTATGAATAAATCCTTTACATTGAAATAGTTGTCAGAATTTAAGAAACACCAATTTGTGGTACAGTGGTATCATGCATTGCATTATCAACACATGAATAATTAGATCTAAAAGAAAGTTTATTAGTGATAAGAATAAAGGGTACTTTCAGATAATTGTAGTATGATGTGACACTATCTGTGAATTCTATTGTGACAAAGACCCAGGTACTGCTAATTCTTTTTTTTTTTAAACCAAAGGGATTATTTAAAAATTTTTTTTAAATGTTTATTTTTGAAGGAGAGACAGACAGAGAATGAGCAGGGGAAGGACAGAGAGAGGGAGACACAGAATCTGAAGCAGGCTCCAGGCTCTGAGCTGTCAGCACAGGGCCTGACGCAGGGTTAGAACTCATGAGCCATGAGATCACGACCTGAGCCAAAGTTGGACGCCCAACCGACTGAGCCACCCAGGCACCCCAGGTACTGTTACTTCAAAGGCAGTGTATTTCTTACAACCATAATTTAAAGAAATGCTAAATTCAGATAGAGATGAGTAAAGCAGATACGTAATTTGTTCCCAGCCATGTCTAAGGACCCTCTGAATTCTACCTGTGGAGCATTTGCTAGTTGGTGAATCCTAGGTAAAAAAAAAAAACAAAACAACCCTTGAAGAGGAAAGATTGGCTGTATTCACAAAATTGTTCCTGCTTTCCATTTTGATAGAGTTGGCCTTAAATGACTATGTGATACTTATGTAGGTGCCACTCATTATCACCCTTCTGGTGTGTCTCCCTGGACTGAAGAGGAGCGCTAACGACCACGTGTCATAGATTCCCTTGCAGCTGAAGTTCTAGCCATGATTTAGGTTCAATCCGCCAGCGTTTACATGAGATCTCAAAGAAGGCAGTGAAGGAGGAGCTATGTGTCTGCTCTGCTGCTGGCATGCCTAGATGCGGATGTAGTTGGTTTTCTGCAGCATCTTATTACTGTTCTAGTGTTTATTGCTAGATTAATGGGTGCCAAGAGGCAGGGTCCTGGTACATTTAGTTGGTACGCCTCCTCGCAAATGTGGCATGGTTCTGGACTTGACAGCAAAAGTAGCATCTGGGTCCTGGCAATTTCCACACTGTAGGGGTGGCAGTGCTGGTTTCTGAGCCCTGGAGAGGTACCAGCTCCCTCAATGGTTGGGTTCAGCTGTGTGGCTTTGAAGTCGTCACTGCAACTCAAAATGAAGTCCCCTTCCTCAATCCTTCCTATATTTACACAATCAACTTAATGCCCTGAAATAAATCCCTTCTTGCTCTAACTAGCTACAATGAATTGTTATCTGCACTGCAACTGAACTCTGACCTGAACAGAATACAATTTATATTCCCTTCTATAAAAGACCTATTTCCTCAAGAACTCTTGAGGAAAATAATAGATGATTGCTTTCCATTCTTTACCAAAGAGTACACTTTCAAACACTTTGGGAGCAAAATGCCGAACTGTCCACTGCTCACTGACCAAAAAGAAACATACTCAAATTTATATCACAAACAGTAAAATAGAAAATACAAAGAATAGACTGGAATCTGTTCCAGTTCAGTTAGTTGCAATCCCTTTATAAAGAAGTTAATTATTGCTTAAGAGAGTAAAAATACTGGATTGCTAACATAGAAAATATGTGTCAATTATCACCTATTTCTCTGTAAATGTACTTGAATTCGCCTGCCCATTGTACCATCGAAGGATAAAGGCAATCTCTTTTCCTAAGTGAAAGGAATTTAATATTTAACCCTCAGAGTAAGCCAGGTGCTATATTAGCTTGGTATTCTTCTTGGCCAGGTGATATCACAATGAGGGTATTAGTTGCCCTATCCTTATGGAGGCCAAAAAGAAAATCCTAAATTACTGCAGAGAAGTTTTATTAACAAAATAGCTTGAGCTGAAAATTACCTCAATGATTTCGACAACATGAAATGGATAAATAGAGCATGAAAACGAAGTGGCATGCCAGAGGTTTTAATTATCGTAGAATTCCAAGTGAGAGTTCACTGAAATCTCTAGATTGGATTAGTCGTGTTGTTTTCCTATAATACACACACACACCAGGAAAAAATGTCTATCAATATAATGAACAAATATTAATAATATGTAAATATATTAACATAAAAATAGATAAAATAGTTTTCCCCTCCCCCATTGCAATTCTGTAATAGAAGGTAATCTTTTGAAAGTTAGAACTTTTAATATAGAGAATGAACTGGTGTGGTTTATAAAAAATGTTAACCATTATATAAGAAAACTGAGTTATGATTTTGTATCTAATCTCTCTGAACATATATTTTAAGTCTCAGGAAGGTGAACCCGCACTTAGGAGAACTGTTACTTTACCAAATTCCATTTAGCAAGCCCCCCTAAGCCAGACATGTTTCTTACTCATGTGCAATTCCTTTAACAAACAGAAAACAAATATATTTAAAATCCAATCTGAGCACGCGAACCAAGCCTAAGAAACGGAGCTCCAGGGACTGACCACTATTTTCCAGGGGTGCAGGCCCTTTCCTCTAGTAACTTCTACTTGGACTGTGGCACGTCGATTTTCTATCACATTTTAAATTAAAAAGAAAATCTTACTATTACATAGGTTTCTTGTCTTTAACACCAGGAAATTGCTTTAAAACACCAACTCTGTTAACTTGAAGTTAAAACTACTTGTGGGCGATTTTAACGGTAAAGTGGCTTTACCAAACAAAAATTAAACTCGTAAAATGTGGTTTTTGAAACCCCTATTGGTAGCCCTTCGCTGCCCTCTAGGAATACAGGTGTTTCCCCTGTGGCGGGTTCACCGAGGCGGACGCGAGGCGGCGGCCCGGGGTACCGGGGAGACCGTCGCGAACCTCCTGGAAAGAGGCCCGGCTCCTGCCTCCATGTTGCCCGTCGGAGGGAAAAGACTGCAAACAAAGCCCCCCCCACCACACCACACCCCCCCGCGATCCCCAGGAAAGCCGCTCCCCGCTGCGGGCCCACTCCACCCACAGATCGCAGCCCGGGAAGGCGCTGGCGCCGGAGCGTGGCGGCGGGAGGAGGAACAGGTCCGCGCACGCCCGCGGAGCCGCGGCTGGTTTTCCCGAAGCCTCGAGGTCCGAGCTCGCCGCAGCCTGCCCGGCCCTTTCCCACCCTCCGGGCACAAAGAGGGAGCGCCGGGCGCCGGGCTGTGCCCGGGCGGAGGCGGGCAGGTCGCCCGCCTGCGCCCTCGCCGGGGGCCCCGCGTCCCCGCTACCCGCACTCACCAGGAGAAGCAGCGCGGCGCCCTCCGCGCTCCGCGCCATCGCGCCCGCGCCTCCGCCGCGCCCTCGCCTGGGGCCGCTCGCCGCTCCCGGTGCCGCCGGCTCCCCCGCGTCCCCGCCGGCGCGCCCTCGGAACCGCCCCGGAGCCCCCGCCCCGAGAGCCGCTCTCCGCGGCCGCCGCGCCGCCCTGCCCCGGGGGCGCGGTGCCAGGTGCGGCCGCCGCGAAAAAAGGGAACCGGGAGCCCGCCGGAGTCGTGGGCGCTGAGGTGGGGATTCCTCGGAGGAGGGAGGCGCGCGGTGGACTCCCGCCCCTCGTCGCACACGCACCTGGGACCGTGACGTCCCTGGGCCGGGGACTTTGGGTGGCAGGCCCCGCCCCGTCTCCTCTCCTTCCCCGTCCCCTCCTCTCCGGAGACTGGCCGGGACCTGGGAGGCTCTGGGCCGCCCGGCGGGGCTCGGCCTGAGCCCCATAGGCCGCCCGGCGCCCGCCCAAGGGCAAAGCTTGCTCTCCGCAGCGAGACCTGCCTGCCCCCGGCGAGCGCGCCCGGACACCCGAGGCCTCCCAGGGGTTCAGAAGTTTGTGACTGTGCACGGGCCCGGCCTCAGGTGGTGTAGAGAAGACAGTGTTGGGGCCATCCGCGTCCCCACTGCAGCCGGGGTGCCTGCGGCTTGCTTACAGGGAAAGGAGGTTCTGGAGCAGGATGTAGGTGGCTGGCTCTGTGAGGGCCTGTTGCCCTCTGTCTTCCCGAGGCCCCTTCATGGCTTCCAACAGGTTTGCAGTTTATCTGGTTAAGGGAGACAGAAAAATCACAGATGATTGAACCAGGCAAGGCTAGGATAAAACTCCAGGGGTTGTTAAAGAAAAGATGGACTCTTCGATCTGATTTACAAAATCTCGTACACAAAGCATGACTAGAGGTCAGGATCCTTGCTCCTCTAGCGGTGTGAGCTGGACAACCTCTCCGTGCTTTGGTTCCAGATCTGTTAGGTGGGGTTGGTCAGTAGCACCCAACACATAAGGCTGCTGTGAAGATTAGATCGGAAAATGCATGGGAAGCCTTCCGTGGTGTTTACAGTACAGCAGGTTCAATAAATATAGTTGTTAGAACTATAATTATTATTGCAAGTGTAAATGTGAAGCTGAACTCTTCTTGGAAAACAGAGGCGCTAGAATCAGCTCCAGGTTAGGAAACTTCTAAGAAACATTAACTATTGATGTTGGAGTAGTGGAAGTGCCTATAGAACTTCCAGGGTTGATACGGTGCTAGAAAAAGAAGTTCGGCATTCACCGTGAACAAAACCGCAGAATTCCTTCTGGCCAAAATGCTCTCTTGTCCCTTTCTGGGTTTCTCCAACCCTCTCTCCCTAGCTCTGATCTTGCCAGTGTTTTTTCAGATCCAGTACAGTTGGCGTCTCCTCTTTAGGCCCTTTCTTCCCTAGCTGCCAGGGACCACTCCCTCTTGGAGTGGAGAGAAACCACATTCTCTTCTCTGTTTAAGGCTTAACTACTGAGTGACTTTTCTCATATTATTACTTAAGTGTTAGTCATTAAGTTAGTTGAGGACTAAGTGTATACGAAGAGTGTCTGCTTAGTTTTCCAGTCTGTTTCCAGTGCCTAGAACAGTGCTGAGCACCAGGGAGGCTCTTAAGCATCGGATGCATAGTTGAGTCAGGAGAGAAATATGTCTCCTAGTTTCCATTCCTTTGTCTTGAGCTAGATGTGAGTGGTAGCACCCTGGTGATAATTCCCATTCCCCATCACTCTGGGAAATCTCCTAAGTAAATAAGGCAGGCTTTACCAAAACACTTTCACAAACCATCCCTGGAGACTATACAAATCCTACCTAAAATTAGTACTCTTGCACCTGAGTCCTATAGGCAAGTATTTATGCCTCATTATCAAGAGTTTGGTTTCTGTTTAGTAATGAAGATAATTGTAGCTTCCAGAATGAGACATAGCTACTGCAAATTGTGTTTCTCTTCGATTGTTCAGTCTCCGCTGGAGGCTGACAAAGTCAGTTTCAGAATTGTATTATTCTATAAGACATTTATTCCAAGGCTTTGAGAGAAAGCGTCAACACACGCACTATTCAGTGCCATAGTATGTTGTTCTTGAATTAGCTCCCCTTTACAAGTTCTGAAATTTATGACTCAGTGAGTTGAGGGAACTCGTTGAAAGTCAGAAGAAACACTTCTCTAGCTCCTGACTTCTTTCTTCTGGCATGAGAGTAAATCTATTGCATAAATCTCTGTATACAGGAACAAATACCATTACTAACAAAGCACTTGATTGCTTTATAATAAATTGAGTGTTAACAAGATGTGAATGATTTAACTTACCGGGTTTTTTTCCCCCTAAATTAGTTGAACATTAAATGTACTTTTCTTAAAACATGTACTTATAATACATCAGTTCAGATTATACTTTGTGCAAATAATCAGCTCTTATATCTATATATATTCAAAATATCTACCTGAGTTGTGTTTCCCATAATACTTTGCTTCACACATACACAGAGGGAAGAATAAGCTTCAAGTGATTAGTTTATAGAATCATCTTTTAATATTATCTCAAACATAAAAATTTTGTAAAAACAAAATTCATGTCTCCTTTTCCTACTATCACTGCCTCTTTACCGCCAACACATTCTCAGCATCAGAGAACAATTTATACGTTGACAATTCTTGGCAAAGAGTTTGATAGATAGTGACTCTTTAAATCCATTGAAATTCTCAATGAGCATATGTGTTAGCATTAATGTCAAAGAGATGAGAGCTAAATCAGGTGATCTCTGATTTCTAAATCATAATGTGAAGGCGTTAAACATAAAAAATGGTCATGATGGTCAGGAGGCTTACTTGTAGAACATATATTGATAAAGGATATGTAGATACAAGAAATAATGTGAAATGCCTCTACCTAAAGTGGAAAGGGTAGTAAAATAAGGAATCTGTTTTCTGGCTTAGCTCCCCTCATTTATTCCTTCATTTATTCAACAGTTAGTTTGTCCTTGTTCAACGAACATTTCATTTGCATTTTATTGGGAGTACAAAGATAAATAAGTATTTCCTCATCCAAAGAAACAAAAATAGGTACTTAGGAAATAATGTAACTACAGAATTATTATAAATGCAGGGGTAGAACTATATGCAAGGTATAAAGCAAACCTAGGGAAGAGAGTCTCGAACTCACAGTGAGTGCTGTGATATTAGAGAATGCTTTTGGTGGGGACTGTGGGGGTGGGGTGGTGAGCAGATTCATAAAGGATGAATAATTGTGAAGGACACATTGACCCTGTCAGGACAGAGTAACTCCAACAGAGTTGAGTAACCATTGGTAGAGAGTCAGGGGCTTCAGGTTTCTGTGAAAAAAGCATTCTTTTACTCACGTTAACACAAACAGGAAAGTCAGGAGTAAAAGCTTCTTTTTTTCCAGTGAAAATTGTATTGAGATAACTACAGCAATATCCAATTAGAAAAGTCTAGCAAGCAGTTTGAAATGAGAAGGAAAACACAGTTGTGGATAGATTTATGAGGCAGAAGCGGTAACCTAATTTTCTTTCTTTCTCCATCTATTTCTGATTGTCTGCCTACCTGTTAAATGCTTATGCCTTTTGATTTTTTTTCCTTTTCTTCCTTTTTTTCTGAGGTGCTACTGAGTATGATTCTGTAGGCACTCTCCTTGTGCAAACCCGTTACAGTTTTCTCTCCTAAGCTTCAAACATGGGAATATTATCATTTGGATATTTCATGGGGGCCTCGAAGTACCATAATAGTTTTGTAGGGATGTCAAACTAGCATACCAACAAAAAAGATTTCTGCAGTCCTTTTAATTCAAGCTTACAACTTCCTCATATGCCTCTCACATGCCTTGTCAATCGGCCACTCAAGCCAAGAACCTGAGAGTCTCTCTCGATTCTCCTTTTTCCATACTCTCCATCTCTAATTAGTTACCTTTCCCTTATTCTCTGTGGTTCTATTTAGAATGATTCATACAACCTTTGTAGCAGCAATCACATTGTGGCTAATGGTGATTTCATCCATGTCTGCTACTCCACCCATTTTGCTTTCTCAAGGTTGTTAGTACTTAGAAAGCAGAGCCCATATCTTATTCATAGTGGGGCCAACCCCTCGTATCCAGCAAATATTTGATGACCAGTAAAGATCTGTTGAACTAAGCCCATGTACTAGAAGGAACTAATGATAAATAAACAGTATTATAAGGGAAGGGGTTTGAAATATCTACCGTAGATGAATCAGTGGTGGATCTAGTCAGAAAATGTGGGTCTGGGTTGCGTGTGTGTGTCGTGCACATGCATACATTGCAGGCACACACACATTGGTGTTATTTGTATATGTGCGTTTTCCCCAACCATGCTGCAGCTCAAGAACAGGGGAAGGATAGCGGAGGGTGATGTGAGCTAGGGTTGCCAAGTGGCCTGGCTAGTAGGGAAGAGGTGTGTCAGTAGTTACATGAATTGAGTGTGACAGGAGGGGAGACACGGGGTGAAGTTGGAAGAGTTCAGGGGCCAGTTGAGAAGACATGCATTACCTTGGGTATGGAAAATGCGAGAGCATTATGTTTCCCCTTAATCCTGGGGAAGGAGCCATGGTCGTTTTCCACAGAGGCCAACCCATGAGTGACATCACAGACACTGGAGAGTCGGGATGTTGAGATTCTCAGGGACTTTGCTGTTTGATGGATCAAGAACGACATCCATCTTGGGCAATGAGAGAGGAGAACTGGCCTGCATGGAATGGGGGGTGTGGAGGGGGGCTGGCCTCTAATAACAGGGTGGGAAAAGCTTTCTTGCCTTTTTGAGCTAGAACTTACAGAGTAATAATCAAAGCCTAGCAGCCTGCAGGCCCTGTGGTCTAGCCCAGAGGAGGCAGCATGTCTTAATGAACAGTCAGTGCACTGTGGGGCAGCAGTAGTCAGGCCCGAGAGTACAGGTGCGGACACCAACACCCTGAAGAGACAGAGAGGCCCTGCGCATGAGTCACGGTGTCTAACTGAGCTGTTTCCTCACAGGCTCCTCCTTGTG